TCTGAGTGATTCTTGACTATACTTTGCAGAGGTTTCTGTTTAATAATAATATCTGCTGTTATTCATAAACTCATTTATGAATACTAACCCTCATTTTACATTAAACGTGATGGAAACAAACTTACTACAGGTACCTCTCTCTTTGACTGGTAATTAAAATTTTGTATCAGAGGCCTGGCTTCATAAAACCACTGCAAGTATCTGTGTTATTTCAGTTAGATTTGTTCCTGGTCTTACGAAAGAAACACTTGTGCAACACTTATGCCATAAAAGAGTACACTTCAATTCAGTTTGCCCATATACCGATTCCAAAAAAATATATACTTTTTCCAAGACTGTAAGAAATATAGTAGGACAGTAACACTCCAACATCAAAACTCATTTCTAAATGATGACAAATACTGACTATTTGGGTTAAAAGAAAATGTTTCTCACGAAAGTGTTCCTATGAAAACAGATTTTTACAATGACTTATAAACTGTGAAGAGCTGGGCTGTACAGATGGCTTGGTACACTTTAGGGTGTTTCTCTTAAAGTAGAAAAATTACAATGTTGTAGTTCTTTGATTTTATTTTATAGGATTAAAAAAAGGCATAAATAGTTTAAGTGACATCCTTTAAAGTAACTATGAAATGGCTTTATGTCTCCTGATCATCAGTATTCATCAATGTCACAGACAGCCTTGATTAACTGGTTGATAATTTCAGAGTGTAATAAGCAGCTTTTGTGATTCTTTCCCCTATCCCTGAGAATCATAAACACCAAAGAAACCTTTGATCCTTTCATTAGAATTCTCTGGAAAGTAGTCGTGTTCTTTCATTGATAACAGGGCAAGGTGCAGGGTCGTATAGGGTTAATCCATGTAAATTGGCTTCCACACGTAAAGAAATTTTCTGGAATAGAAGAAAAAATTACATAGAGAAGTTTGCTCCTTAGCAATTACCTCTTCAACACATTCTATAGATTATCTTCTTTGATTAGATATAAATCAGTTGAATGTGTAACAAGATAAAGTAGCCAATGCACTGTCAAAGACATCATCTTTACTTAACATTTAGTACAAGTAACCTGGAAAAACCAAGCTTCTATATTTAGAAAGTTCCCTTTTTTTCTTTAGTTTCTGCTAAAATAAATAAATAAATAATAACTACATGTTGGGCACTGTTTCTATAACTGTATAAAGAACAAGAAAATTCTATGGAAAAAAGAATTTCAAATTTACAACTCCAACTTCAAGGCCGAAACATAGCATTGCCCCAAACTCAGTTATCACTTCACTGGAGAAGTTGCTTTCTCTTAACAAGTATGGTAACAGATATGAAGCAGTTAATTTCTGAGAAGACTGGAAACTTGCCAAGGAATTTTCCCTTACTCCACCTGAAAAAGGTTTGACTGCTTAAATCAAATCTATGTTTTCTTACCTGAAAATCACGAATGTAAGTCAAGAAAAAACCAAAGAAAGAAAATGACATAGACCATTCTGCTACAGTGGTGATTAGATGAAGCACATAACCCTTGAATGAGACAGAAGAAAAAATAGTTTTGTGAAATTTCATTCAAATAATTATAGTATTCTCAAGTAAAAAAAGCTTAAATTGGTCTGTCTTCTGAAAATTAATGTAATTTATTGAACTTATCTTGTGAATTAAAGACTGTCTTAGGAATTCCTCTGACACAGCACTTAGTATCACCCACAAGTTAAATTTGTATTTACATAGCTAAGAAAACCAGAAGATTTTCCAATCTACCACAAGGAGTTCCCACTTCTCCCAGAGTAACATGACTTATTAAAGGATACTAAGAAAAATTTAACAATAAACTGTAAGTTTCAGGAACTTACTGGAAAACAAATGCAAAGCCCAGAAATTTTCAAATAACAAAAAGTAAAAGATATCTTTTCAATTCACAAAATGAATAATAAATTTCAAATTATGAATCTCAAGCAGTAGCCTCTAACAACTGACACAACTGCTTCTCACAGTGCAATTCTACCCAGACCATTGAGTGCTGCTGGCTGCAACACTCTTCAAAGAGACTTGACTGAAGAACAATAGCAATATTACCATCTCTCACCTAAAAGGACAACTGGGAATGAAGAAACAATTTGAAGATGTACATATCGATGGCAGCCTTACTTTGAAAACATGCAAATCTGTAAAAAGTGGTTTTTCATGTGCTTGTTAGTATTTTGTAAACTAATAAACTTTTGATTAAAGGAAAAAAAATCTCAAGTGGTACACTATGTTCTCATTTTGGGGGCTTAATTCTTGAGGAAACTCTTTTGCCATCATAATTCTCTTCAGGTCTTAAAATATGGATGGCTTTACATAAACTCAGTCATTACTAGAAAGTAATCTTAATAAATAATTGATTATTCTATTAAAGAAGTTTCTTTGTTAGTGATAAAATGAAAATACATCAGGATAGTCAAATTTAATATGAAAACAGTTTTTATAGGTTCTAAAATCTTACTTTATCCTCAGGGTTCCAGTGAAGTTTTTGTACTAGATCAGTGCCAAAGTTACCACTGTACAAAATTGATGAGCAAGTCAACACTATAAAAAAGAAAATAAGTCAAGGAAGAATCTCAAAGATCTAAGTTTAAATTGAATCCAAAATAAAACTCATCTTGTTATCCTCTCATCCAAAAGGATAACTCACACATTTGTTGCCAAAGTCCAAACCCATTTTCTTAAATTAATGTCACATTTGGCAGTAAAACCAAAAGTGTGTCCAGAGGATTTCCACAAAATGGTTTTCAGAGTCCATCCTTTTCTGTTTGCTTGGAAAATTAGTTCTACAATAAACTTCTGATAATTATGTAAAGAGATCACTGACTTATCCTTCATTTCTTTGGAGTGAGCATGACTCAGTTATTGAATTTCAATCTGAATTTACTGTTTTAAGTCCTTCAGTTTTAGAGTTACTAACCTAAGAATCTCTTCTACATTGTGCCACTGTACACTGTGCTTACATTACATACTAGAGCTTAGGAAGTCCTAAATGGTACTTAGCATCACATAGAAAAAGTAAAATTTCCATTTACTTAAATAAGAAAACCCTAAGAATTTTCGATCTACCACAGAGCTATTACCACTTTTCCCAGAGCAACATGATTTAGTAAAGGCTACTTAACATCGCATTCTACATTGTGCCAACAGTGTTCCCTTAAATTTTGTTACCCAATTCCCTACCAACTGCACCCATACATTACAGTGAAGGATACTGCTAAGTACACTTACTCCACACCAGACAAGCAACAGTAGTCTGATCCAGAAGACTTGTTTGCCGTGAATTTTGGGCTGCATTAGGTATGAAAGGACGGTCTGAACAAACATGTAAAATATGCCCATACCAAAAGTGAGCACACTACCACTGACATGTACAACAAAAATGGCTGTTTTCTGAGAGGTAGAAAAAAAAATAAGACAAAAATAAAGAAGTCAGTAAAAAAATTCAGAATACACTGGCAACACAATATTTAAAGGTATAAACTGGAGATTCCAGGAGGACTTTCACTGAGTGGAGAAACTGGCCAAATTCCACATGTCAATCACTCCCTGAACTGTCTTTCAATGACAACATAAATCTGATGATCACAATAAAACCAAATAATTTCATACATTGCTACAAAAATATGGTATTTATTCTTTTACTCATTTAATAATATGCTTTTGTGTTATTTATTAGATGCTAGGCACTGCTGTAAGTCGATACACAGTAAATAAAAAGAAACACAAATAACAGCCTCTACATAGTCTACATTCTAGTGAAGATATACCAACAACACACTTGAGAAATAAATTTCATGATATGTTACATAGTGATAAGCATAAAAGAAGCATAGTGCAAGGTACATATATGATTGGATAGCTAGGTGAGGAGTTTAAATCCAACTCAAATTTAAGGGCATGATACATGAAAATATGACCTCTTTGTGCTAGTTTGATGTGGTACTGATTATATGACACACTACCATAAATTATAATTTTTCCTATAACTTACTCTTATAGATGTCCACTTTACTTTTAATATTGCATATACTCTAAACTTAAAAGTGATAACTGCATACACTCTATGATTAAAAATATTACATGAAAGTTTTTGGTTGGATTGTTC